ATGCTTGGGAAGAAGTCACATGAGTTTGGGCCCCCTAGCGGCTTGTTCTGGAACTGCAGGGCACTTTCTGGCGAAATGTTTAAAAGCCAATAAGTCCAGACAGGAACAACATATTTTCATTTATTTTTGGTGTGTAGGTAGCTGAGAGAGAGATGTACATAATTAAATGCAAATTATGCAAATGAGGACTTTATTTGCATAATTAATGAGGAAATTCTATAATTACAGTGTTTTACATTATACTACTACATGTATGTAACCTATGGCAGGCGGAACTTCAACAGATACTAATTATGCAAATGATGACCTAATTTGCATAATTTAATGCGAAAATTCTATGATTTCGTAATGGTGAATGATGAGAATGTCATACTTGGGACATCTGTAAGTTAATCAAAAGTTAACATACATCACGATGCATATATCATGTTAATGCAGAGGTCATTTCCACAATTAAAGAAGAAATTTACATTTACATATCAAGATCATATTTCATGGAGGTATGAGATCTCGGAATTCTAGTCATTCATTCATTCATTCTATAATTCATTCATTTATTCATATCACGGTAGACCGGCATCGAAAACCATGAATTAGAAAGCACGTGGCGACCTTCTTGACTTGAAGTGGTCACAAGTGTTCAACATTCACTCCAAATCACAAACACTCCAGCGAACTGCATTCGCACTAAAAACAATGAGGCATGTTTTGCAGTTGAACTTCTTTATTGATGATACAATCATGCTACATGGAACCCCCGGTGACAAGACAGTATCACGTGTCACTTGGATCTTTCTATATTGTTGTTGTGACATAATCATGATTCATTTATGGTGGCACTACCCAGTACAACTGCATTTTCATTCCCTTAGCCAATCACCCTTCTATAGCCAGAAAGCGAAGCTATCTCGTTGTTGAACATGGTTGATACCATGGATACTGGTATTTTCAATCTAAGAAGCAATTTAGATTCTTTTCTATTCTTTCCCAACATTATCGTGTATAGTGTAAAACACTACAAAGAAGAAGTGATGTATGTTTGACAGTTGTTTAATCGATGATGCAGATTGCTATTGAGTTGCTCTTGGATATAGTACTAGTATGCGATCAAACTGTCATTAATCAACTACATAATTCTATGCAACAGCCCTAAACCTAATGAGCCACCTTCTAGGATGATATCTAAAGTATGGATATTAAATGGCACAGTTCATTCAGCTTCATTCTATAAGTTGCACCTACACAGAAGTGGGTAACATACAAATGTTCTTTTGTGGAAAATGTTCTAATATGTTGTTCTATCAAATGAATTTCCATTCTACAATCTATTACATGTGCTGAGGACTACCTCACTGAGTAGACAGAGTTCACGTAAGTAATATAGCTAATATTGCAATAGCTAGCAAAAAAGGCTTTCATCTAAAATAATGATTTGTAATCGTCAGCAACTTGCTCTAACTGCGACTGCCGGCTCTACATTGTGACTTCTCTGTATGCTGATGGCCTCAGGCGGACATATCAGCTAATATCAGCTAGCCGTCACAGGTCTTGATGAAGATGGCCATGACGTCAGCAATGCCCACATTTCCCGGATCTGTATCGGGTCAAAAATGACAAGAACATGATGTTATAGTTCTTTTCTATACCTTGATTTCCACGAGGAGGTTTAGAATCATCAAATCCCAAACCAAATTCTCGGCTAACCCTATGCCTCTCCAACAATCGATGAAATGTTTCGAGGACAGTACAGGAAGATACTTACCTCGCTCAAAATTCACGCTGGTGGACCGCTTGGAAAACAGGATCCGCGGGGTGCCAGCAGTCCTTTTCTCCCAAGGACAGCCGTACGAGTTTCCATCAAGGACGACCAGCCAACCGTTATCAGCAGGGCAGCCTCCGTAGTTTCGGTTGATGAAGAATCGCCTAATTAACAGATTTATGATCATATGGTCACATTGATTCCCCCAAAATAATACTTTAGAGAAACCATGACAAATCAAGCCTCCTTGGACAAATGAAAATAGTTATTACCGTGACTCTATATGTTCTGTCTCAATTGCAAGGATTGCAATTTATCAGGTGGTCGACTTAAGACGTATCACCTGACCATAGGCTGAAAAATCACGTTGTATTTTCGCTTCAGCCACCAGGGGCTACTAACCTCAGATGATTCACCGTATTGTTTGAAAGATATCAGGTCCAATAATCTACACGTTTTGTTTGATGCTTATCCCTTGAATTGTGTGTGCTCTGTTTGTCTGAATCTGGTGCACTTAACTTACCTATTAATGCGCCAAGCCACGTCACGGTGTCCTGAGATGGAAAAGTAGTTGGTGGGTGCGCTCTTCAGGTCAGTCCACGGCGATGAGATGACACGGCTCTTGGAGAACCAGCTGTGCTTGGTACTTCCCGCCCCGTTGAAGATGATGTCCCGAGTTTGCAGTGTTGGGCTGAACGTGTACAGGGACACCTTCACCTGTCAAACAAAACCGTTAACGTGTTAGTGTTGTTGTATGTTGACAAAGTAGGAGCTCTGGTTGAAGTAGTAAGGCTCTTTTTCTACAAATGGTTTCTACAAATTGAAAGTTTGTCTTTTTTTTTTATTCTCGATGTCTCTAAACAGTCAACCCATCAGGTTATCTCACTCTTTTCCCTTTTTTGCAAAGAAAATGCACCTTGACTATTACCTGCTTAATGTTCAGTGATGCCCAGTTTCCATCGATTTCCCTGCTTTTGTAGTGTCCGATCGCCGGAGACACTGCCAGTTCACTGGGCAGGTTGGCAGGGGTGTTGAAGTCCCTGTTCCACAGGCTGAAGCTGTCACCCGCGTAGCTTTGGATTTTGTACGCCAGTCTCCAGCCACAGGCTGCAACTGTGACGAAACAGTTACTAGTATTTTGACATTGATTCGTGAAAACACCCGGCACAAATTTCTGATGAAACATTTCCTGGAAAGGTCATTGCCTTTCTAGCAAATGGACAACATTTTGGTGTAATCCCCCAAAAGGTAGTTCTCGCTCTACCCTCAAATTCATTTTGTTTGATCAATTGAAAGTAACACAAACTCTCTCAAAGAAAGAGTAGGGCGGTCATCACAATGTTGACAATGTTCCAATCTTAGCTAACTCCATAGAAATTTTAAAACATTTGAACGAGGGCTGGGTAAATATCATCATCATATCATACACGCTCTTGATCATAGGCCACCGTCCACAGGCACCATGCCGTATTTCCTCTGATGTAACACAGTGTCATAATTAGCAGACCCAGAAAATGGAATGTGAAAAGAATGTTCTTACCAGTGCAGGCGTACTTGACTGCCAGGTACTTGGACGACCCAGGACAAGGATCCCCGAACACGCTGTCGGAGGCCCTCACAGAGCAGCTGGACTTTCCCTGGCAGAGCGTCCTGACCTGGGTCAGGCCGTTAGGGCTGCGGCATCGGGTGATCATGGTGCTGGTCGGATAGGTGGGGCAGATACGCTGGGAGAGTCGGCCGTACAAGGCGGACACGATGTTGAGCTGGTGTCCAGCAGGGCAACTGATGATCAATGTTTGGTGTTCGCAAACTCGGGCCACGCTTGTGCGCCCTGTGGTTGTACCTGTGCCTGTTCCTGTACCTGTTTAAATGATGACATATACTCAATCAACATGCCAAGCAACTCATTGTGAATAACCCTGGCAATTCAACCTTCCATAATCATCGCGGATAAAGATTGTAGTCACATATCATGTAACTCTAAATGGCACCCCCTTCCAACTTTCTAGGCAGCCATGAATCTGAGATTTGGAGTTGTATGATATTTGTAGTTAATCCCTTTTCTCTCCTAAATGAACCTGTTTGTCCTTTTCCAAGGAAAAACGTATCGTCTATTTTTCAATGTGCCCTGGAGAGGAAACCTCAGACATAAGTTTACAACAGCAAATATAAACAATCCAAAAACAAACAGAAACAAAGCAAAATATGTAAGTCGGTACAACACCAAATGAATGATGAAGGAATGACAAAACCAAAGAAACTTAAAAGAGTCCGGTGATCGTACTTTAGCCCATTAGTATTTGTCTTATATTCGTTTTGTAGTTTGTTCTAGTTTGTGGTATACGATGTATCGATGCCACCATTTATTCTATACCCTTAGAGCAATATAAATTTATATAACACTTAAAATTTACAACCATAGAATGTCTTGATGAAGGTAACAATGCACTTTTATTCCTATGTCTGTCATGTAGCTATATAACTTAAGACTCAGAATATGACATCGTGATATGAAAATGTACTAATTGTCTGAAACTGATAGAAACACACGAAATTCCACATCATGTAAGACGAACTCACGTGGTACAATCTGGTAGACCTCGTTTGCCCAGGGTCCTCCCTCACCGTCGGCTTGGCAGGAGGTGGACGTTCCGTACTTCTTATAAGTTTGCAGAGCATTTGCCGACGAAGCACACCATCCGCCAGCCTATACAGGATATACATGTACAGCAAATGCGAAATGGATCAAAATGAGACGAAATGGGACGATATAGAGGTAAATATGAAGCAAAATGAAACAAAGCAAAGGTACATGATAGAACCATTTACAACAGAGTGAAACAACTAATATACCGTGAACCTTTGTACTTGAATGTCAAAAGACGTTGGACCTTTTTGCCTCGCAGGAATGAAAACAAAGATACGGTTTCATGACAGCCTTACAGTTTATACAGTAACCCTCATCAGGCTGTATGGGGTTCGTTTGGTGCGTGGCATTTCAGGACTTGTTATCGAAAAAAACTCGTCCTAGCCTACCACGTACACATGTCTTACAAGTTACAACAAGTATGGAATTTTACCGGCACTGATTCACTGCGGACGGTAGAAGTATACTGGGTAGAGACCGAACGGATCCCAGCAACATGTGTACTATGTTTGACATGTGTACATATATACTGTGTCTGACATATATTCTGATACGCCCCTTTATTCCGTACAGATACTCTTTAGATAAGTCACAAAAATGCATCAGTGACAAGAGGGTTCAGGCGCACCTGGACTGCGAACACCGTGTATCCCCGCCTGGTGGCAGCTTCTCGACACTTCCTGATAGCTTCAGTACGTAAATGGTAAGCTCCGTCCAGGCCGGGGTCCTGTCCTTCCAGTGTAGGGATGGCGCGGTTCGCAGTGTCCTTCCAACACCCGAGACGCTGCAGCCCACTACTGGATGCTAACAAATAAAGACGTGGCAAAAATGTACATGGTTGTAAAACTTGAATTATATTATAAGACCATGATAATAGACATAGCACTGTAGTATGTATGTACCCAGTATACATTACATAAACGTTCTCACACACTCTCGAAATATATGATGATAAGAAATGGTTTGCTGACCTGTTTCCTGGTGACCACGGGCAACTTGTTGTCCTTCCTCCAATGTTTCTTCAACAGAATCGACTAGAAGAAATATAGCAATTAATTGTAGCCCAAGGCTACAGTGCATTTCTTCAACTTTCTTAAACATCTATTCTGACATATACACCACGATTTTGTAACTATAGTACCCATAGCCAGGGCACTTCGGTGAATATGTCAGAAGCAAATGTATGCTAGACTTAACGATTATATGATCTGCTTCCATGTAAATGCTTGAATACCCCCTTTTTTGTTTACGTGCATTAACGTGAATGGGCACTGACGTGGAATTAGATAATTTGGTCGCAGCAAACGGTGTCTAGATCTGAGACGTCATTGTCCTCAAATATCTAATCAAATCTGTTTGGAATGGAAGGGGTGTTTGTAGGAAACATGAGGTTTGTGACTGAGTCATTCACATATATGCCAATGGACTATTATGTGTTTTCGTCTCCTCTAGCTCTGCCACATGCACGTACAAGTCTAAAAGACATGATTGACTAAAGTAAAATCGATAGCTTTAGTGTCCACAGTTCAGAAACCAGTTAAAACACCATGCACTTTCAAACTTACTGCGTGCGCCCATCGAACCCTCCGCCCCAAGCTCTTCATACAGTTCTCTTTCTTTTGCTTCTTCAGTCAGATCTAAAAATGAAAATGAAAATTAAAAGAATAAGATCAATTCCAAACTACGAAGTACAAATGCATGATGTTTGCAATTTGCTTCAACTTTTGAGTAATAGTACCCTCGAGGGTTTCCATCAGGCGCCCCACTTCATTGGAGTCGATGTTGACTTCATTGGAGTCGATGTTGACTTCATTGGAGTCGATGTTCTCTTTCTTCTGCTTCTTCTTCCGCTAGATCTAAAAATAAAAATCAAGTATAGGATCAATTCCAAATTATAAGTATAAGATCACTTCCAAACTACAAATTAGAAATGCATGATGTTTGCAATTTGCTTCAACTTTTGAGTAATAGTACCCTCGAGGGTTTCCAGCAGACGCTCCACTTCATTGGAGACAATGTTGACTTCATTGGAGTCGATGTTGACTTCATTGGAGTCGATGTTGACTTCATTGGAGTCGATGTTGTCCCGTTTCTGCTGGGGTACTTCTGCTGGCGACAGGACGTCGTCTGTAACATCGGAGAGAGTATCAACAACATTTCCATTTTTATATGACGAGTCAATATCTTTACTTGATATTTCTACATGTATCCAGGAAATACAACTTATCTATACATATGATCATCCTTCCTTAAGCCTATGTACACCACTTGTGTATGAGATAACCAGCTTTACACACCTCCGAATACTTCAGTAGTACGTCCGACCAGGAACACCAGTCCCACGGTCAGGAGCAGTTTGACAGCCATCTCAGACGTCAATGCAACCGATACTAAAACAGAAAATGTTTCACTGATATTTCAAAGCAAGTGCAAGATGAATTCAAACATATCCTATCAAACTCAGCATAAAATGTCTTGAAAAACTGAAACACTGTCGTGGATTTGTCGTTCTTTCCCTACTCAGCGGTATGATAACTTCAAACAACATGGGTGGGAGTAACTTCAGAATTCGTATAAAATATGAGTCAAATGAAAACGGCAATAACTTACTTAACCAGTTGGCTGCGCTTCGCGAAAGAAGTATCTGTGTATGAGTGTGTGATTCTTTTCTTCCGAAATGGGCTTCGGGGCGTAGGCAGTTTGGTTAACTTTCTAAGCTTAAGCAGATCTGCCAATCATGGCTTTTTTAAGGATAATGACTCATAACAGTAATGTGTGTCGAGTAAACTGAGTTCTTTGATTGGTGAAAAGACTTCAGATAGAATTTCGGGGAGGAGCTTCGGAAAGGCTACATCGCTTCTAGCAAAATGACACAGGCGCGCTGGGTAATCAACCGTCAGGACGACTCAGCAAACCGTCCGCTGCACAACAATGGAATAATATCCCCATAAATCCTGTTTTCAACTGACAAGTACAAGGTACATTGCACATCGAGACGGTGGGGTTTTAACCTGTTCACATGCCTCTGCTCACCTCCAAAGGTGTGATTCACCAATAATGATAGATGTCAGGCAATGGATGCTTAAATGGCGCCCTTATAGAGATAGAGCACTATCACTACTCACAACTTGAACTTTAGAAAATGGTATCTTCATGTAGCAATCAGCAAGGTCTAATTCAGCGCCAGACACCGAAATATTTTCGTTTAACGAAGGGTGGAATTCGCAAAGCTTTCCTTAATCCTCACCAGGGATGGTAATGAACAAAGCCTTGCCAAGGAATCAAGGGTTTAGTCAAGCTCTACGGCACCATTAACACTGAACAAAAAGGAGCGGTGGCTCCTTAATTCCCACGGCTAGGTGGCATCATCCTCGGCAGGTATGCCATCTATGTTGGGCAGGGTTGGATTGGGCACATCACTTTTAAAAGTTCACCTTTGACGTGTTTGAATAGCGAACGGTCTCATTGTACTGCTGTAAGTGACCTTTCTTTCGTTTCGTGCCTCCACTACGCCAGGAACAAGTAGGTCCATATATGTCATTCATCCCAATAAATTACCACCAATACTACACTTATTGCAATTAATAGTCTAGCCACGCCCATCAACTACCCCCACATTGACTCGTATATGTCATATTTTCCACCCAACAAAAGAAACCTCTCTCTGAAGTAAATTTTTGTAACTTTTCAGAGTAACGCAGTTGAAAACCAGGAGAGTAATTAATTTGGTGACTGACAGAAAGCCTATGTCAGTCGTAAAGCTTTAAAAAACGGGTTTAGCCTCTTCAGAGCTAACAGCCATTTAAGCATCTGCTTCCTACTGTGAAAAAACTATGCGTAAGGAGTTTCTACGTGGCGTAGAAAACTTTCCTCAGTCATCTAGAATTTGTGCAGTGAATATATTCCCACCTGTGAGGCACAAATCGCACGGCGATCTCAGAGATATTTCAGCGCTGATCTTCTAACGAATAACGTCTACATGAAATGAGGTCGAACTTGTCCGATCACTATAAATATTGTGAGGGAGAGTATTGGAATATCAAGGTTAGACCTCTAACATGGTAGCAGGTATAATACTCGTACCATGAACAGTGTCATGGGATCTTCAATGGTGAATTTCTTGGATGATAACCGGAGAGAAAATTCTTCCACTGCTCATTGGTATGACAACTTCAAACAACTTTGGTTTGGTTTGGACTAACTACAGAACTTGTATCAAAATATAGTCAAATGAAAACGGCAATAACTTAATTACTTAACCAGTTGGCTGCGCTACGCGAAAGAAGTATCTGAGTGTCAGTTTGTGATTCTTTTCTTCCAGCGGCCTGACCGAACTGGGCTTCTTCGGGGCGGAGGCAGTTTGGTACTTTCTAAGCGAATCTGTCAATCATGACTTTTTTATGGATAATGATTCATATCAGTATACTGTATGGAGTAAACTGACTTCTTTGATTGGTGAAAAATACTTGAGATAGAATTTCGGGGAGGAGCTTCGGAAAGGCTACATCGCTTCTAGCAAAATGACACAGGCGCGCTGGGTAATCAACCGTCAGGACGACTCAGCAATCCGTCCGCTGCACAACAATGGAATAATATCCCCATAAATCCTGTTTTCAACTGACAAGTACAAGGTATATTGCACATCGAGACGGTGGGGTTTTAACCTGTTCACATGTCTCTGCTCACCTCCAAAGGTGTGATTCACCAATAATGATAGATGTCAGGCAATGGATGCTTAAATATCGCCCTTATAGAGATAGAGTACTATCACTACTCACAACTTGAACTTTAGAAAATGGTATCTTCATGTAGCAATCAGCAAGGTCTAATTCAGCGCCAGACACCGAAATATTTTCGTTGAATGAGGGGTGGACTTAAGAAAGCTTTCTAAATCCTCACCCGGGGTGGTGATTAACAAAGCTTTGCCAACGAATCAAGGTTTTAGTCAAGCTCTACGGCACCATTAACACTGAACAAAAAGGAGCAGTGACTCCTTTAACCCCTCCCACGGCTAGGTGGAATAATCTTCGGCAGGTATGCCATCTATGGCCATCTATGTTGGGCAGGGTTGGGTTGGGCAAGAGTTTGGGTGGGTTGGGCACATCACTTTAAGTTCACCCACTTTGACGTGTTTGAATAGCGAGCGGTCTCATTGTACTGCTGTAAGTGACCTTTCTTTAGTTTCGTGCCTCCACTACGCCAGGAACAAGTAGGTCCATGTCATTCGTCCGAATAAATTAACACCAATAATACACTTATTGCAATTAATAGTCTCGCCACGCCCATCAATTACCCCACATTGACTCTTATATGTAATATTTTCCACCCAACAAAAGAAACCTCTCTCTGAAGTAAATTTTCGTCACTTTTTAGCGTAATGCAGTTGAAAACCAGAGGAGTAATTAACTTGGTTGCTGACAGAAAGCCTATGTCAGTCTTAAATCTTTAAGACGGGTTTAGCCTCTTCAGAGCTAACAGCCATTCAAGCATGATAAGTATCTGTCCTACTGTGAAAAAAACTGTGTTAGGAGTTTCTACGTGGCGTGGAAAACTTCTCCTCAGACATCTAGAATTTGTGCAGTGAATATATTCCCAATGTGAGGCACAAATCGCACAACGATCAAAGAGAAGTTTCAGCGCTGATCATCTACCAAATCACTTCTACATGAAATAAGGTCGGACTTGTCCGATCACTATAACTTATTGTGAGGGAAAGTATTAGAATGTCAAGGTTTGACCTCCCTCGGCTAGGTGCTATCATCGTCGGCAGGTATGCCATCTATGTTGGGCAGGGTTGGGTTGGGCAAGAACCTGGTTGGGTTGGGCACATCACCTTTCTTTTCACCTGGGCTCAAATTCCAGGAATCTTCTGTTTTCGCGCTCGCGTCAATTGTGGGGTGTCAAGAGGATATCATTCATGAAGTAAAGTCAATATTTTGACAACAACGTGACGTTCTAGATGAACCTTTGGTATCAAGCGCGTTTAAGTTCAACCACTTCGGCGGCGTATTCGAACAGAAATCGGTCTCATTGTACTGCTGTACGTGACCTTTCTTTCATTTTGTGCTTCCGCTTCGTCAGGACCAAGTAGGTTGTTCATATCTCATACATTTATATAGAGTGCTTTTACTCAAAGTAATAGTCTGTTCATCTCCATGAATTATCCTACCTTGCCTTGTAAAGATACTTCTTTTTCACCCACCAATGAAATCACTTTCTGAACTAATTTTTCAAATCTTTCCAGCGTAACGCGTTGCAGTTCAAAACCATAAGAATCATGAAGTTGGCCTTACTTTTGTCACTATCAAAACCAAACGTAGGAAACTGTTCTAGTCTTTTCATAGTTAGCAGCCATGCCAGTACATGCTTTCTAGTTGACAAAATCTATGTGTAAGAACTTTCTACGTAGCGTGGCAAACAATCCTTGGAGATAAATAATTGGTACTAACAGTACATATATTCCCACCTGTGAGGCACGAATCGCACCGCAATCGTAGAGATACTTCAGCGCTGACCCGCCACAGAATCGCTACTGCTTGAAATGAGGTCGAGCTTGTCCGATCAGTATAGGTTATTGTGAGACGAGTTACTAGTAATTGAAAGGTCAAGGTTTGACCTCTGACATGGTAGCAGGTATAATGCCTCATCTTACTGATGAATGAACAGTGTCATGTGATCTTCAATGGTGGAAATTCTTGGAAGACACCCACGCGCGCACCGGAGAGAAACTTGTGCCGTCTTCGGAACTACAGGCAAAGATTTGCGACAATATCGAAGTGTTTCTAGATCTAGCCTGGGTAACATCCTAGTTAGCTTATCGCGGATCCATCTCCCTCCCCCTCCCCCCGCAGGTGGCATAATCTTCCTTGGCCCCTCCCTCGGCTAGGTGCTATCATCGTCGGCAGGTATGCCATCTATGTTGGGCAGGGTTGGGTTGGGCAAGAACCTGGTTGGGTTGGGCACATCACTTTTCTTTTCACCTGGGCTCAAATTCCAGGAATCTTCTGTTTTCGCGCTCGCGTCAATTGTGGGGTGTCAAGAGGATATCATTCATGAAGTAAAGTCAATATTTCGAAAACAACGTGATGTTCTAGATGAACCTTTGCTATCAAGCACGTTTAAGTTTAACCACTTCGGCGTATTCGAACAGAAAACGGTCTCATTGTACTGCTGTACGTGACCTTTCTTTCATTTTGTGCCTCTACTGCGTCAGGACCAAGTAGGTTATGTTGTTCATATCTCATACATGTATAAAGAGTGTTCTTACTGAAAGTAGTAGCCCATTCACCTCCATGAATTGTTCTACCCTGCCTTGTAAAGATACTTCTTTCTCACCCACCAATGAAATCACTTTCTGAACTAATTTTTCAAATCTTTCCAGCGTATCGCGTTGCAGTTCAAAACCATAAGAAGCATGAAGTTGGCCTTACTTTTGTCACTGTCAAAACCAAACGTAGGAAACTGTTCTAGTCTTTTCATAGTTCTAGTCTTTTCATAGTCAGTAACTGTTACATGCTTTCTAGTTGACAAAATCTATGTGTAAGAACTTTCTACGTAGCATGACAAACAATCCTTGGAGATTAATAACCGGTACTAAACAGTAAATATATTCCCACCTGTGAGACAGAAATCGCACCGCAATCGTAGAGATACTTCAGCGCTGACCCGCCTTCGAATCGCTACAGCTTGAAATGTGGTCGAACTTGTCCGATCGCTATGATTTGAATGAATAGTGTCACGTGATCTTCAATGGTGGAAATTCTTGGAAGACACCCAGGCACACCCAGAGAGAAAGTTTTGCCGTCTTCGAACTACAGGCAAACATTTGCTACAATTTCGAAGTGGTTTCTAAATCTAGCCTGGGTGACATCCTAGTTAGCTTATGACGGCTACCCCCCCCCCCC